ATGATTCCCTCTTTTCAGGGGCTTGCTAAAACTAAAATCGCCCCCCGACCCCCTGTGCTTTTTAACATCATAGGTGATACCAAACTAAATCTCAGCTCAAAACAAAGTCATAGTAAAAAAAAAAAAAAAAATGAATCTATCTCGGAACGCTCCGTGTCGGCTTCTCAACCAAGGTCTCGTGTACATCATCTACTTCAACGTTCAATGATAATACGCTGTTCGGGGAAAGGCGTTGTGCGGGATGAAATTCATCTTTTTACGGCTCACGGGCTATCGATTGTAATTTCGGACATTTACATGTGCATCCCAACTGGCCCTCTTCATGACAAGGCAGAAAGTTTGCATTTGATTTAGGATTTGCTAATGAAGCTGCCGCGGTTCCGTGGTAACTTCGCTGACTGAAACGCAGCTAGTAAGACAACTTCCCGGGTTCGAATTCTACAACGAACAGCACAATTTTTTGTTGCTGGAAATCATTTCTAAAAATTTTCTTTGGTTGCTATAAGAGGAAACTCGTAACCACGGAGGGTGGTCGGGTCATTCACGGCGCAATCGGTAGCGTGCAAGGCTGTTAAAAAATCCAAACCAATCATCCACCATGGTAACGAGTCACGAGTAGTCACGAGTTCGAATCCCGGATGAGGCATGTCACCTGTCCCTCGGATACGAGCTGGTCACGTGATCGGGAAGTCGCGAATACGAATGCAGGCACTCGTCGGTCCCGGCAAATTACCTTTTGCATAAAAAGCCGGTATACTTTCGCATAAGTGATCGATTTGGCAACAACTTTAGCTGGTCGTTATCATAGTGTCTGCCTCGTCGATAACACTTCCTTACTCTTCATTTAAAGGTTCTTAAAATGATGCTTAGGCGGGGATGGTCATTGATCTCTATCCTTTACCAGCTACGCAACAGATCAAACTTGAATTGAGTCAGTATAGCAAACCCGCCATGGTGCCATGCACGTCATACTGCCCTTTCATCTCAGAGAGCTGTCTTCTCGGTGGGATTATCAGCAAAATAATTCATTTTATTTATTTTTTTTTTTTGAAAATCACGTCACCGCTATTGCTTTACCCAATGTTACATTTTGTTGTGTTTTTAAATGCCATCCCCTTCTCTAGGGCCTTGCTTCTCAAGACTGTTCATATTGTCTTACAGTACCCGGAGCAACTCCACAATGGCCATTAGAAATGGCAAAGACTACTCAAATCCAAAACTGCCAAACTGTGAACCGTTTAAGCTCTCGTCGTGCTCGATAACTTCACAGGTGAAGTCAGACGTAATCTCACTGTAAACCAAAATGAAAATAAAAGCATCAGAAATCATCTGGCTAGTTACGTTCCGAGCAGTCTTATCAATAAAAGCGACCAAACTTGATAATGTGTCGGTAGCTTTCCCGCTTTGGCACCACGTCATACCGCCTGTAAACCGCGTTCAGCAGAAAAAGAAAGTATCCTCTCGGCGGCATTGTCGCCAAATATGTTGTCTTTGTCGAAATTCACATGGTTGCAATTGCTTGAAAGGAAAACGCACCAGCTTCAACACATTTGAACGTTTTTAATGATTCCCTCTTTTCAGGGGCTTGCTAAAACTAAAATCGCCCCCCCCCCGCGCTTTTTAACGTCATAGGTGATACCAAACTAAATCTCAGCTCAAAACAAAGTCATAGTAAAAAAAAAAAAAAAATTGAATCTATCTCGAAACGCTCCGTGTCGGCTTCTCAACCAAGGTCTCGTGTACATCATCTACTTCAACGTTCAATGATAATACGATGTTCGGGGAAAGGCGTTGTGCGGGATGAAATTCATTTTTTACGGCTCAAGGGCTATCGATTGTAATTTCGGACATTTACATGTGCATCCCAACTGGCCCTCTTCATGACAAGGCAGAAAGTTTGCATTTGATTAAGAGCTTTCTAACGAAGCTTCCGCGGTTCCGTGGTAACTTCGCTGACTGAAACGCAGCTAGTAAGACAACTTCCCGGGTTCGAATTCTACAACGAACAGCACAATTTTTTTGTTGCTGGAAATCATTTCTAAAAATTTTCTTTGGTTACTATAAGAGGAAACTCGTAACAACGGAGGGTGGGCGGGTCATTCACGGCGCAATCGGTAGCGTGCAAGGCTGTTAAAAAAATCCAAACCAATCATCCACCATGGTAACGAGTCACGAGTAGTCACGAGTTCGAATCCCGGATGAGGCATGTCACCTGTCCCTTTGGATACGAGCTGGACACGTGATCGGAAAGGCGCGAATACGAATGCAGGCACTCGTCGGTCCCGGCAAATTACCTTTTGCATAAAAAGTCGGTATACTTTCGCATAAGTGATCGATTTGGCAACAACTTTTGCTGGTCGTTATCATAGTGTCTGCCTCGTCGATAACATTTCCTTACTCTTCATTTAATTGGGAATAATCTCTCTCTCTCTCTGATTTTTGTAGATCGAGGCTGGGTGTTCAAAATGTGTATATAGCTATATAATTTGGTCATTATTGCACATTTTCACTATTAAAGGTCGTCTGTCCATATGCCAGTACTTGGACATAATGAACGAAATTGAGCTGGCTTGTTTCATGTATGTACCTATAGTACTTGCATATTCCAAACTTCATGTACACCGTAGGAGGCCTATACCGAGTTTCGTATCTAAGTCTATACGAATCTTCTTTTTGTGTTCTTTTCAGTTCCTGTCATCAAATGCCCCAGCTCCTTACATATGAATCACGTATTCGGGTATCTTGATCTGACCCGGACCGCAGACGCTGTATTACATCAGTATTTATCCTATAATTCCCGTTGTGATGAGGGAGACGTACATGTTTTTACCACAGACTGTAGGGGATTTTGCTTTACGGCGCAGACAGCGGTGAATATTACTGCAGTACGTATATAAAGTCGAGAATATACAAAAAACATCATTATCATTAAGTGCTTGAGATCGTTTTCTGCATTCGCGCCCGTGTTTGTGCGTGTGTCTACTGCATGTAGTATGCGCGTGCGCCTGTGTGCATACGTGCGGGAGTGTGTTCATTCAATTCAGCATGTACTGTATCCTGATCGCCCTGCTGTTCGTAATGTTGGCGTCACTAAAGTAATTGCTTATCATATACGTGTGTTTATACACTGTCATTACACTTCAAGGACTTCAAGGACTATCACTTTATCACGGGTTACTTTCTTACATTCTACATTTTTAGAACTTTTTTATGCCAGTAGGTAATACAGTCCTCATAAACAAAATAGCCGCAGATTTATGTTTGCAAAGTAATTCATACTCTGAAACTAAATAAATACTATTTAGACGAATATTAGTATAGCCCTCTATAACACAGCGGGTTAATAAATTATAATCGAGAACAGTTAATTTGTAACAAAAAGTTTGTTAAGGAAATGTTGTTTCTGGAAAGTTTTCGCACCATTGAATTAGTTTTTTTTAAATACAAATTATTGCTAAGACACGGGAATTAATTACGTTTTATATTGAAATGATTCTGTTATTCGCTGTTACTTAATAATTGGTTAAAGGAATAATAACTCTTCGTTTCGGCCAAAAAATGAATTTTCCTGGAGTAAACAACAATTTCCCCATACTAACCAATGGTTAATGAATCCATTTTTACATTCAAAGTTAGTCCCTGTTTTTTTCTAAAAAGTTTGGTTTTTTGTTAAAATCTCTTAAGAGATTTTAACAGAGTATAGCCATCAATGGAGGCCACGTGGTCTAAAGACAAGCTCAGTTATCAGAATAATAGCTATAACTGCCGTTTTTGTGGTAAAACAGAATATATTATATTTCTATGAGTTATTCACAATGTTTTTAATGTGAAATATAGATCTCATACGAAGAGTTATTATCCCTTTAAGTGTTCTTTTGCCGCACGGCGGTTTACATGTATAGGGAATGTCTCTGTGTAATTTCCCTGAAGAAGTCTGACGTTCAGCAGAAGAAATATTGGCAGATAAATCACAGTCAATCTTTTAAATAGCTATTGACAAATGAAACTTTTTGTTTATAAAAAATTTAGAATACTCGCATATTACACATATCTGCGGCCCCAGGNCAGAGTATAGCCATCAATGGAGGCCACGTGGTCTAAAGACAAGCTCAGTTATCAGAATAATAGCTATAACTGCCGTTTTTGTGGTAAAACAGAATATATTATATTTCTATGAGTTATTCACAATGTTTTTAATGTGAAATATAGATCTCATACGAAGAGTTATTATCCCTTTAAGTGTTCTTTTGCCGCACGGCGGTTTACATGTATAGGGAATGTCTCTGTGTAATTTCCCTGAAGAAGTCTGACGTTCAGCAGAAGAAATATTGGCAGATAAATCACAGTCAATCTTTTAAATAGCTATTGACAAATGAAACTTTTTGTTTATAAAAAATTTAGAATACTCGCAATCGGTTCGTACCTTTTATTCTTCAGTTTGTGGTGTCTACAGGTCACACATCACCCCTGTCTTTTTTCAAATTCACATTTTGACGCGATCCATAAAAAAGGCAATTTTGCAGCTATAGTCATGAAAACGTATTTACCGCTCTGCAGCTCACGAGACCTTTTGTAAATTAACACTGATATCAGAAAAAAAAATAACTGTTTCAAAACGCATCACACAAATGCATTTCTATAATCTACTGTACCTACTGCATATTTTAATATGTATTAAAATACGGGAGTAATGCTCTCTCGATTATCTCCGACCCATAATGCATGTGCCGAAAGGAAAGGTGTAGGGACCTACCTACCATACGAAATTTTAAAATGCGGTGCTCGCAACAAGTATTTTTAGGACCGCACCAATCACATATCTGCGGCCCCCGGTCACAAACGGTAATTTTGTTTTTGTAATATACTGACATAGAACTCCAGACACTGTTTTTGAAGCATTATCCTCTTTATGTTTAACATTTTAAATTGTGCGAATAAGAAATGCTCGAAATAAGACTGATAAATGCTATTTCTTGATACTTCAGTATTTGAGAGGCACTATTTTGAGTTTCACCTTCTTTCAACGGCAATGCACCGGTCTTCGAACCGAAGATAATTGCCTGTCCGGTCGAGACATTGATCACTTCGCTTTGTCTGAACTCCAATTTCCAGTCTACTCGGGGGTTCTTTTGGGAAATTAACAGGTCTGTTTGCACTTACACGTACATACACCGGTATAGCACAGGGTATAGCACCGCTGAGAGAATTCCCACGCAGCAGACGACACCAGGTGGCACCACTGGCACAACATCATCCATTACTAGGCGTTGTTCAGCCTTTATGTGTCTTTGGTCTTGTATATACTCGTCACCGATTAAATTTGTGTGGTGCATGTGCCGGACGTGTTTGTGAATGATGTTCAAAATGTATTGGCGAAGCAATCACACATACATTTGAAAAAATAACTCTTATTCATAGGGAGGACACGGTATATATTTTCAAACATACTATGATATTCATGTACCAGTGCTTGACATATAAATGTTGAGAATGGAACATTGTTGTTTACATCATTATATGTACGTGTAGAACTCAGTCTTTTAATCTGTATCTAAGACCCAATAAACTGTTTAGTGGGCCCTTGTCTGAATTAAAAGGAAAACAATGTACGATTGCAGTAAATTATAAGATTACTTTTCATATCCATGAATCAATCGATCAAAACATCTGAAAAAACATTTTAATGTGAAGGTGTTGTAAAACATTGGCAATTTCAAAAACATAAAATCGTCGAAAATATTAGCGTCTTAATCACTAATTTTTTTAATGTGTTTCTGCCAAAAAGGATTCTTAGCATATGATGCAGTATATAGGGTTAATGGCATATTGAATGTGTGGAACGTTTCAATTGTTTTCCATCATAATTTGGTTGTCCACAATTTTGAACCAAAATAAAGAAACAGATTTCGAGAGTCATGTGGTGAGTTCTCACTTAGGTGGTCCACCTGGTCCGTTTTCAAGTACACACTGACCAATGATTTTTGGGCAGTTACGTTCCCGATTTCCCCAACGGCCCTTGAAGTTAAGAAAGTTGAATTCCCCAGTAAACTGTCCTTTGGCGGCCATCTTGACAATTTTAAGATTATTTGCAATGTGCCATGCTGTTCCTGCACTACAGTGATCTTTCAACTTGTCTCCGTTAAAGAGTTTCTTGTAGACGTGTTCCCCTGTGTTTGGCCAGATACCATGGGATCCCTTGGCTGCGTAGACTTGGGCGTGTGTGCAGTCAGTCGTATAAACGGCCCGATTCCCTCTCCTGAATTCATTACCATTCCACAGAAACTCTCCACCATATTGGTTAGTGATCTCAGAATCGTGGATTGACAAATATACGGAGTAGATTTTGTTATTATTGAACTTTATCTTCACGTGTTCCCAGTCTCCAACGTGATTACCAAAGGTCGAGTACCCCCCTGCGCATCCGTTAAGTCGAGGACATAGGCAATGGCCCCACGCCTTGACGCACGGGCATACGTTATCAAAATATAACCCCACACACGCCCGTTTTCCTCTGTTGTATGGGAAGAAGAACCAATAGGTGATTTCAACAACGTTACCCTTGTCCTCGTATATAGCGTATGCTGGGGCACTTGCAGGATCCTGTCCCTTAAAGACGACAGGTTCTCTGCACGAGGGACAAGATAAATGCGTCTTAGTTTCCAGGTAGCAGTTGCTGTTACAGGTGGGTAGTGTGCTCGGAGTGACGGAAGTCGGACTGCCGCCGCGTAAGTTAACGTGTTGGAGGAAATAATCGACGCTGGATGGTTTCCATTCCTCTCCCACGGCCAACCGGACCACCGGCGCCCACAGTTTCGCGGCGGCGACGATATCAGCATGACTCCTTCCATTGAGGCCAGTGGCCTGCTTATTCTTACACTGATTTAACAGTTTACCTATGTTCAAATCAATCAATTTTTTGAAATTAAATCCGAAGTTGCCGAGCCACCCGTTGCTTGGCGACGAATGAAGCATGACAACCACCAACAGAAGACACCAACGCCCTGCAGCGACCATCTTGAAATAAAAAGTTGAAGCAAAATTTATCTATTTTTCTGCATATTATTATTATTTATGTTAAGATCTGGAAGATATATGAACATAGGCAGTTGATATTTATTTGAAGGACAACATTTGAATGTATTTAGGCTGTCCCCGATGAACGTATGAATGCCATAAATTTGATGTTCAATGTCACTCGTGACGAAAATATGTCACTATTGCCAATGTATATACAGTTATTTACATGAGTTGCAAATCAATGGGGCGAATGATAATTTTCTAGCTTGGTGCACACTGTACGACAAGCCGGACGTCCTGCATTGCAAATTGATGAATATCAATTTAATTTACAAAAATGCTAATAAATTAAAATCACGTATAATAACAATCCATCAGCACCTATTGTTAATCAACGCATGCAAACTGCCCCAAGATTTACGGCGTCATATTATTCATTGTCTTCCTGCATACATGCATAAACTATAAACATTAACTTCTCTGAATGAACGTGGGTTTTAAATTGGATTGGTTTAAATGGCGGTGTGAAACATCTATAATTATACCCGCACAAGTTGAAAATTTGGGGATTGATAGACCTATCACCAGGGATGAGCAAGGGCACTTGGGATTTTCAGTGTTCTTGGGGGTTGGCTGTCCTGGAAGTGGATGACTCTAAATTCTTTTTACATTGTAATTTCTGCCATTTATTCCTATACCATTAGAGTGAGGAAGCTGAAACTCTTAGCTTTGATGAACACATTATCAGGGATGTACATGGGTCTGTTAAAAACGTAATGCAACTGTTGGTCGGACTTCCCTGAGAGGTGATTGGTTCTTATGATCACATTATAATTTTGGTATTTTTCCCAACACTGAAGAGAAAGGAAGTTGAAGCGGTGGGTATTGGTAGTCCTATAATCAAGGGAGTGCAGAGGCACTAAGGAATTTTAGTGAGCCGCTGGGTTGGTATTTTTTTTAAATTAAGCATTTTTTCATCAATACTTTTAAAGCTGTTATGATGAAGACTATCTGCAAAAATTATACATATATATTGTCACAGATATATTGGGAATGGTGTCCTTGAGGAAACTACTTCTTACAATGTCGACACTCCTAAAACGCAGAAAATAACAATTGAACTTACGTTTCCGCTGTGCAACTTTGGTAGACGATTGGCCTCAAAATGATTGCTTGTCGATGTCCGTGAAAATATATTTTTAGCCTGCAAATGTCGGCCCTCGCCTCCCGTGACTCGTGAAGTAGGTGCGAGGATGACAGCAGTGCTTTTTATAGCGGAAGACTCCTACCAATTAGCATGTGTGTGGGGTTCGGTCATCCCAAACCTCTTACAATAGGCGTCACGATGTAAGGCGTGCATTTTAATAACAGTTTGAGGGATCAGAAACAATGTAAATTTGATAAAAAATGATAATATTCCGGTGTCTTTTATGTTTATCCTTCATGACTTAACCTGTTATTATCAAAGCCTTTAATACGAACGTTATGATATCTCTTTTAAAGTTGACTTAAGTCAAATGAATGTTTTTTCTTAAAGTCAGTTTTCATTTCAAACACTGTGATGCATTGGAACAGGATAGTAACTGCATGAACCTTGTGACGGACAATTTAAAAAGAATTGAGCATTGCAATTGAAGGATTTGAATAATTCCATTGGAGAGTGGAATAACAGCAGTGTTAGTTCCACATTGCTATCCGTACCAGCTTGATCGGTCATGATCCATTAAGTATCTCAGAAAAAGAGGATCATACCTTAGCGTCTGTCCCGCCTACTAAAAGCTGTAAGGGGGTAACTAACTATGGTGCCCGCTCGGCTGACTGCAATTTAGCGTGAACCCCCAGGGAGTTAAGTTGATCTAAATCTTAATCTCTGGATCGATCTAAATCTCTGGGAATGCACCCTTAGTTAACAGACCTGGAGTCATCGCTGGTCAGACACGGACAGATGAATATTTATTTCCCGTCCTCGTGGGCGACATCAACATTATCATATGTCAATGTGATAGGCACACTGTTATATTTTATGGTAGGGGAGGAATACATTCTGGACCACAGGCTCTTTTGTTTGTTACAGAATCAGCTACAGCTCAAATCCCACACAGGTCATTCGACAGTTTTAACTGCTAGAAGACCTCTGGTAGAGAGTACTAGAAATATAATTTCTCCCGTATATTCTAACTTGCAGAGTGAAATCGTGATAATTAATCCTTTGTAATTAATTGATTGTTTGTTATTAATTTTTGTAGCTAAAGAAAACAAAGAAATTAATCAGTCATGTTTAGCGGTTTAATTTATTGTTATATTGAGCGGGATAAACGAACGAAATAACAACATCCAAAAGCTTTGTGCCCCTTAACGAAATACTTAAATTATGATCTATGCTAATTTATTTAAAACCAAACTATATCTGGAAGCCTTTCTCCCCAAACAAACTGTACCCTCTACCAGGGCGACAGATTGATTTTTCACAAGATATTCACAGGTATGTCTTTAGATAAATAGACAGTCATTCAATTCTCTGGCTTTTTGAAATTTGCCTATAATATCTGCCACCTAGATAGAGGGTAGACAAAGTGATGATGGATTTATTGAAATGGGTTACTATTCTAATAGGGCTTATTAACACCACAAAACCACACTGGCATACTTTGACATTCATCCCAGGCACACATAATAACCACTAGAAAATCAGAACACTGAGGTGGGTGGGAGGACAGGCCTACTTCCCATACAGCGCAACACTGAATTACTGCAGAGTTTTGCAAGGGCGTGTGTTTGTGCGTGTCCGTGTTTGCCTGTGCTTACAAGCGTGTCAGTTTTTTTTTTAGTTTTAAATGCAACGTCGTTTATAGTATCGTTTCTTACGGGTAAACGGTTGTGCGCATGCGTGTGTGTGTACTCGAAAATATGACTTTTCTAAAATAGCAGTCACGGAAATATTAAAACAGGTTTCTCAAATGAACAAGTCCACCAGGTCTGTAAATATAAAGTGTATATATTTTGTGTCCAACTTTGACCAAGAGTCCACATTCTAAAATGACCGTGAGTGTACAGGAAACTAAATTTAGATAGGCTTGCCTTTGCATTTGGATAATTGACCAAAAAATAAGTAAATAAATAAAGTTAATTCATTCGGAAATTGTCTGTAAGTCAACAACAACTTGATAAATTTGCCTCTTAATGTTTTAAGAATTGCTGTACTTTTTCTGGATTGTTGTATTTCTTTTTGTTTAGCAGTGCACATGTTTAAATAAATCACTTAACTGGTATTAGGTTTTCTTAATTTTCCTTAATAATTTTAGAACCTTTTGTTGTATTATTTCAGATGTAGGCTTGATCTTTACACAAAAATCTAAATTTTACTGTAAACTTATCGTAATCCAGTGAGAAAATCAACTTAAAATTGTTCTAAATCATCTTAACATAGCACAAATGTTGGTTCAAACATTACCACCCGTGAATTGATGGACTCCGCCATTGCTTATAGCATCATAAAATGCGCCAAGTAGAAAGGGAAATAAAGAAAAGCCTCAATAAACAATTCTAGAAAAGGCCATTGTGTTAACAAATCTTTAGAGAGTAGTATTGATTTTAAATAAGTTCAGGACTTTGTATCAAAAGTAAAGACTAGAGCTGAAGGCTAAATGCTATATAAATTATTTACTACCCTTTAAAACTAAAACCCTAGAATTGCTTGGTAAAGGTTTCAAAAGATTTTGAGCCGAATGGAAACTATGAAAGACGCCGATTCTGTTTTGTCACCCTCTTGAAATGATTAGATTGAAGAAAATTGATCTGTCGGTATTTAATGGGAAAATGTGGAAGGGGGAGGAATACATTTTCTCCTTATAGAAACTCCTATGTCCTGTTTTGGAATGATTCATAAAACCTCAAAACCACAAGTGCACGATTTAAGCTGGTCATCTTATTATTTTGGCATGCCATGACAATCCTTGAGATAATGTACTGGTATCTGTAACTCTTAAACAACTAGTAGACATCTGAAGTGGATATCTATAGAAAATCAAGCTCTTTCTCCCTAAACCTCTCCGCACCCCTCTCTTTCTCTCTACTCCCCTAGTGTCACCCCTCATGCAGTGGGTAAAGTGATGCAGAAAATCTTGTCTTAAACCAATGTATTTTATTTAACTTCCTAAAGGATTTATTTACACAATTGTACTGATTACTCAACAAAAGAATAAATTAACGATAGTTAACAATGCTGTTTTCTTTTTGAGTTGAAAGCACATTAAAGATTTAGTCACTCCTTTGTCCAAGGAATACTTAATACTATTCTCCTGACATTGGCCATCGTCTATTTATAAGAATTCACATCACGGCTAATTTTTAAATGCAGGAAAAATAATGATAACTTTTCTTTGGCGCAGCATTTTCCCGAGTACACGACCCTGATGACACATTGACGCTCCATTTGGATTTAAAATACAATGGGGGCGACATTTGATAGAGGTCGCGGCAGTCTAGAAGAAGGTCTTCATCGGAGATACCCGGTACTACAAAGCGACAGACTGCGTCATTTCGTATTGAAACCACAGGCTGTAGGCCTATAACTTTTGGCCATGCGTCGTATTGTAGTAATGAGTAAAATTCCATTGACCTGTTTTAAA